CACTACATACTGATATACACCTGAACATCAGCAGGAGAGGACTCTTTAAAGTAGAGATACTACATACTGATATGAACCTGAACATCAGCAGGAGAGGACTCTTTAAAGTAGAGACACTACATACTGATATACACCTGAACATCAGCAGGAGAGGACTCTTTAAAGTAGAGATACTACATACTGATATGCACCTGAACATCAGCAGGAGAGGACTCTTTAAAGTAGAGATACTACATACTGATATGCACCTGAACATCAGCAGGAGAGGACTCTTTAAAGTAGAGACACTACATACTGATATACACCTGAACATCAGCAGGAGAGGACTCTTTAAAGTAGAGACACTACATACTGATATACACCTGAACATCAGCAGGAGAGGACTCTTTAAAGTAGAGACACTACATACTGATATACACCTGAATATGAGAAATAGAGGACTCTTTGAAACACTATATAATCCCTGTCACACTGACAATTGTAAATCAGATCGAAGCATAGATCAAGAAATTCCAGATTCAAGGCTTTTATTGTGATTTCTACATAACTACAGTGTAGTTATGATAAGGAAAATCTTAGGTCACAGGCTCCTCCAACAGTGCAACACAATGAAACAGATCAAATAGTGCAAGTAAGGTCTTTTTCTCTTTATCCCTCTCCTCCCTGTATTATGTATTAAGCAGCTTCACTCAATACCAAATGAACACCAGCACATTTGTCCGTCCAACTTAAATATATAGATGCATTTTGAGTAAACATTTAAACCACCCCCTCCCTCCTCCAGACCTTTATCAGTGGCAGCTCAGTGGGGGGCGTCCCCTCTCTCCCGACGTCCTCTCAGAAGCGTCTGGATGACAGCAGCGCCCGCTTCACCACCGCTAACTTCCAGGAAGTGTCGTCGGCGCTGTCCGGCGGCTCCAAAGACGGCCTGGCCGCGGCGGACGCTGGGAAGGCGGCTTCGTCAGAGGCGAAGAACAAGAAGAACATAGTCCCGGGTCACGTTGTGGGACAGCGGGGGGGCCGCAAGTCTCTCTCCTCCTCAGGGAAACCCCTCCCCTCCGCCGTGGTCACCATGGCAACATCCTCCACATCTGCCTCTGCCTCCACGGGGCCTTTCCACCAAGGTGAATTAATGGTGCCGTATGTTAATGTCCCCACAGCTGGGAAATAACCCTGAGAAATGGGCGACAAAATCCACCTAAAAAACAGCAAGTGCAGCACTATTGCAATCACAGAAATGTTATTAAATCCTAAATACGAGAGTGATTTGTGTGTGTGTGTGTGTTTGAGTGTGTTTGTTTGAGTGTGTATGTGTGTGCTGTGTCATTAGCTGGATTTTGGCCAGACAGCAGACTCTTGTGTGGCCTTGATAACAGTGTTTCTTCTCGACTGGCCTCTGGCTCCGGTAATCGGGGGCCCCGTCTGGGAAAAAGACGCAGAAACACACAGAAAAAGAAAGAACATGTGGGGGGGTGGCGGGGGTTGCTGGACCTGAAGGGAGGCATAGCTCACACTGAGCTCCTGTGTTTTGTACTATCAGGACCTTGAAGCGCTTGTCAAGGTGTGTGTGTGTGTTTGTTTGTGTGTGTGCTCTCGAGGCACTTCCTCTGTGGGGAGGGCAGATAGATAGCGGGGGAGCAGATAAAATGCTTATTTTGGTTATCTTGTTTCTGCTTCTCTCATGATGATTGAAAGGAGAGTCGTATGAAAAGTCCCCCCCCCCCCAGCTGTGACGTCTGTTTCCTCTCTGTTTCCATCTCATGTGTCTTTATCTTTTCTTTCTGTCATTGTTTGTTCTTTCATCCAGGCCTCCTGTTGACCAGTGCCAGTAAGACCCCCTCTGCCCCTTCCTCCTCAGACTTCTTGAGTTTCTCAGATCCGTCGTTGCGTCCTGGGGGCGGGACCACCTTCTCCTCCCCTCCGTCCTTCAGCAGCTGCCTCGTGAAGCCCAGCTCGGAGGGCGGAGCTTCAGAGGGAACGGCGACGCTTTTCGGCTCTTTGGTGTCCGCCACCACGGCCTCTGCAGGTACCAGACGTTCAGAATCAGATCAGAAATCACTTATGTGTTACAGCAGAGGGACTGTGCCGGTACAATGGCAAATAATCTGAATCAGAAGCGGGTTTTTTACCAGGTAGGTTGGCGCGTACGAGGAATTTGACTTGCATACATAAAAGTAAAACAAACATTTGAAAACACAGATAGCAAACTATTTTAAGAACACTATAATAACATAACAAAAAAATAAGAAAACATATAGTAAAATATTAAATAAAGCAATATTTACATTGAAATAGAATGGGATAAAATATGAAATATGTGCATTAAAAAAACTAAAATGAGTGGACTAACAAATTACATAAGAAAGACACATTGTATAAGATGAACATACATGTTTTGTTTTTTTAAAGGACAATGAGAAGGGGAGGGTTTCAATGTATACTGTTCCCTTATTGCAAATGTTAACTACTCCCTGTAACTGGTGAAGTGTTCTCAACTGTCTTCTACTTACAGAATAGTTAAAAGAAACACACATTGTATGAGGAGCAGCATTTGTATAAAGTGTCCTCAAAAACCCCCAAATAAAGCAGATGTTCAGTTCAGAAATAATGTATTGCAGTGTTACAGCAGAGGGACTGTGCAGATAAATGGCAAGTAAGATGAGTGGACTAACAATTCAATAAGAAACACACATTGTATGAGAAGCAGCATTATCAGAGCTATTATAATATTTTTTTAAGCACGCTTCTTAGTTCACATTAAAGGGGACCTATCATGCAAAATGCACTTTTTGATGTCTTTTATACATCAACATGTGTCCCCGGTGTGTCAGGGAACTCACGCAGCGTCAGAAAAATAAAACCTTCTCTCTTTTCCTCCGTACCCAAATCTCTAAAAACGGGGCTACAACGGAGCTGATCCAGATTTGCGTCCGATATGACGTAATATCTGAAATGTGGACCCACGGCCCAATCAGAAACGTTGCTATCAGAAACAATGCCCGATTATTTTGGACGTAATATGGTCGGTGTTTACATTAGCATCGCTAACACTCAGAGCTAACCTGTACTGGAGAGCATGTGTGTGAAGAAGCAGGAAGTAAAAAGGAACTCACCTTGTGGTATAACCGGCAAGAGAGAAAGCCTTTGAGCTCCAAACTGTTTCAGAGATAATCCTTGATAATCCATGATATGGCGTTTCATCACGGTAGTATTTAGTTTAGACAGTAGCTGCCGGGTCCCCCATGAGCTCAGACCCCTCCTTTTTTATTTAAAGCTTTATACCAAAATCAGCACTTTTGAAACAGGAAGTGAAATAGAGGGATATGAGGCATGGCTAGAATGGGTGATCTGTTTGGTATTTTGAGCAAAACACTTCATAGACATGTTTTTTATATATTTTTATATATCTGAGACCTATGCTATGGCCTAAAAATAGCATGATAGGTGACCTTTAAGCTGTCTTTGCTCTATTCTGCTGAGACAATGTAAATGTCCTCTCTGTGGGACTAAGACAATTATTCTGATTCTGATAGTGTCCACACAAACCCCAGATAAAGCACCATGAGCTTTACACTTAAAGGTATTCCCTTCTGCTTTTCTTATCGTATCAGTGGGCGGGAAGCTGTATGAGAATTCCCACAGTCTCACATCCAGCGAGACACCAAGCCTCGGTGGCTCCGCTGCCTACAAGAGACCCCCCCCCTCCAGTTCAGGAGGAGGGGGAGGAGCAGGAGGAGGCGCAGGAGAAGGAGGAGGAGGGGACGACGGGTTGAAGAAGAAGAAGAAGGGAAACTGGAGAAACAGATTTGGACCGTGCTTCACGACGGAGGTGAAGCCTTCAGAGGCCGCAACCTCCCTCTCCCTCCCCACCTCCACCACCACCTCCTCCTCTTCCTCCGCCTCCCCGTCCTCCTCCTCTTCCTCAGCGCTCTCAGGACGCCCGGGCTTAGTCTCCAGCAGTGGGTTGGGAGTAGGGGTGGGAGGAGGTGGAGGAGAGAGGGGGCTGGGGGTCAGCGCTGGGATTCAGAAGTCCCCGTCACTCCTCAGGAACGGAAGTCTGCAGAGCAACAGCAGCTCCTCGGGCACCGGAGCAGGTGAGGAGGAACCGTCAACACACACAACAACACAACAACACAACACAACCATGAGGAGAGTTTGTGAAATAAATACTCTCTCAGATCCATCCGTCAGGAAAATATCTTCCGTTTCCTGTATCTGAACAATAAATAACAACAAACTAAATTGTTGTTGCCAGCTAAAATTAAGGAAACCAATTAAGTCCTGTCCGAAAAACAAGTTGTTTCCTATCAAGTTTACCTTGACACAAAACACAAAACAATGAGGGGGAGAGTTTTTGAAAAAAATACTCACTCAGATCCATCTGTCTGTGTCAGGAAAATATATTCAAAGTTTAGCTGCTGCTCCACAATAAATAACAACATAATGAATTGTTGTTGCCAGCTCAAATGAGGAAACCAATGAAGTCCTGAAAGATAAAGAAGTTTTCCCATCATGTTCACCATAGTGTCATCAAAATGGTTAAAAGGGAAGTGCCTCACATGTCGGCCTGTAATAAAAAACTACTATTGTTGGACGCCATATCATCCTAAAAATAATAGCAATAAACAAGATTACCATTATTTAAAGGCTTTTAAGCCTCAGACCTATTTATAATGATCATATAATAGCATATCAACTTTTAATCCTTAAGAACATTCGGACCTCCAGAATTGGAATGTGAAAAATTATTAAATATCCTAAATACAAAAAAGGTCCAAATTAAATCACAACCAGAATAATGAATGAAATGTGTTCTCTGGCTCTTTTAACAAAAAGACTCAATGTCTGCACACCACCCACGTCTTTTAGTGGTAGAAAAGCCCTGCTGTTCATTCTTGCATAATGTCGGCTAAAATGTTACTTTTGTTAACGAACATGCAGGGAAAGCAACAGGCAAAATGGAAGTCGGCATGTCCATATATTGTACGATAGGTTGATAGTGTAATTATTGTGACAGGTCTACTCATGTGTGGCCTTGTAGCAGTTTTTGTTCTGTGGAGCTCGCTCTTCGTTCACCTCTAAACGCTGCAACAGAAACATGTTGTGCAGCCAAATACCAACCTATAGCCATCAGAAATAGTGTGTGTGTGTGTGTGTGTGTGTGTGTGTGTGTGTGTGTGTGTGTGTGTGTGTGTGTGTGTGTGTGTGTGTGTGTGTGTGTGTGTGTGTGTGTGTGTGTGTGTGTGTGTGTGTGTGTGTGTGTGTGTGTGTGTGTGGTTTGCGCTCACACACTTGGAAGTGGTCTGTATGTTTCTTTCATCGTGTTCTGTTGCTTGGCAACTGTCTTTATGCTTTGGAGTTCCCCTCTGCTGATGGAAATGGCTCCGCAGCCCACACACACACATCTCCCTCTCCTCCAGGGTCTCCTCCATTTGTTTCTCCTGCCTCCCCCCGTCCCCCCTCCTACCTGCACTCTGCTCCTTCTGCACATCACCTGTTGATGCTGTGTGCAGTTCAAGGTGTGTGTGTGTGTGTGTGTGTTTGCATCAATGCATGTGTATAATAAGCACATGCTTACAATGCAGAAGTGAAGGTAGTAGAATCCATCACCACTTCATAGGGTCAGCTGATCTGATTCCGATCACAGATTTGTTTTTGTTATTCAACATCTGTACATAAGGCTCTTTCCTCAGACTTCATGTTTGTCTGTTACTGAGTTAGTTGTTTATTATTTTTTTGCTGATTACTACTTTTTTCGATATAAATACAGTCTTTTTATTATTATACTACATTCTTCCTAGTCATTATTGTTGAATTAGGTTTCTCCTTAAACCTCAAAACATATGTTATACAAACAACTCAGTGCCACAATTAATATATTTTAAAATACACACATCTGTAGTAGTTGTTCTTCCGTTCATAAAGTATGAAACCCATGTGGTTGCTAAGAAGAAGTACAAACTGGTGTTGTAGCATTTGTCTGATATGGGGATATGTAATTACGTTTTAGTAGCATCATATGTTTAAGCTAGCCAACTCAAATGTATGAGGTGAATTCTCACATTTTCTCTGATTGGAAAGAAGCATGTTGCGTGAAATGGAGCGTTTACCTTTGTCTGTCTCACACATTGACATTAATGATTGCAAACCTTAAAATGTATTGATCCTAACAGTATAAGCAAAAGTTTTCTGTCCATAAACGTTGATATGCAGGGAAACTTTTAAAGGCGTGTGTTGCGGATATTTTATATTTGCCTTTAGCGTGACGACTGGAGCACATTTTGCTGGAGCTTCTCAGTTTTTGGGCAGCGGTGACTTCATTCGGACCACAGCTACTGACGTGTGTGTGTGTGTGTGTGTGTGTGTGTGTGTGTGTGTGTGTGTGTGTGTGTGTGTGTGTGTGTGTCTACTGTAAATATTTAGCTCAGGGTTAATGCAGGGCAGTAATAGGGAGGATCTTGGCGCCCCCCCCCCTCCTTCCTGTGTGCTGATGGATAGATAGTTAGCCTGATAGATATGTGTTTGTGGGGGGGGGGGCAGGAGGTTAGATTTTGGTTAGGTTAATGTTTGACGGCAGGGGGGGTCACTGATGGGACGGACGTGTTTGGTGTGTGGGGGAGGAGAGAATTTATTCAGACCAGAGTGTGTGTGTGGAAACAATAAGAAAAGACACACACGAGGCATAGTTGTTTTTATTTGGTTATTTATTTTAAGGACATATATTTATTTGTTTTTACTCATTTCAGTTAAATGAGAATTACCTGCGGTTTGGTGCCACTGCTAAACGCACGTGAGAGGAAGTTGTGAAAACCAGGAAATATTGCATAAACAGGATTTCATTTAAATACAAAATGAAGCCTGTTGATAAAAGATGAAACCTGTACAAATCTGCATTAGAATAAGTGATGTGAGATACACTGAGGCATCTTGTGTTGGCGTGTTTCAATGAATACAGTCTGCAAAAAATAGTTTGTATTTTGAACAAAGTACAAAAAACAAAGTCATCAAATTAAATAAAAAAAGATAAATTATTTACAAATTGATTTAAAAACACTCAAATTTTACTTCGCAATTTCATAATGTTTTTTAAAAAGTTGTTATGTTTACAATGAATAAAAAAAGGCAGTTTATTTTTAATCAAAGTATATTTACTTCGGGAATAAGTATATTTATTTGAGCACTGTGGTGGATGGAGCTTTAAAATATGTTTGGAGAATAACAAAGACTTTTAAACACCAGACAAGAAGAAAAACAACACACACACACACACACACACACACACACACACACACACACACACACACACACACACACACACACACACACACACACACACACATTATGCTGAAAACCTCTAACAACCCATCTAACAATTGGAGACAAACAACTGAAAGTGACAGCTCTTTTATGTGCAACGTGTGTGATCCTCCTCCCTAAACTCTGCTGAATAAATAAATGGTACAAATATTTTCTGTAGTTTGAATTACGCCTCAATTTGACACTTTAATATTGCAGAGACTGTCCGCTGAATCTGCTGTTAATTCTGCAACTAATATGGCGTTATCAGGCTGTGGCAATCCCACATACAGTTTGTAATACATGCATGCAGACAAACACACACACACACACACACACACACACACACACACACACACACACACACACACACACACACACACACACACACACTGGGTGTTGCTCTGCTCCATCTACACGTTGCTGCGATGTTTGAATACATTTCTGTTTATCTTTGGTGGTAGAAAATTCTCAGAATAATAAATCTCTCTGTTGCCGGGATGGTATTCAGTGTTTGTCTCCACATTCCATTTTTAAACATGATTAAATGACTGTCTGCAGTTTTTACAACTGAACAAACCCACATGGCCCCCCAGCTTCAGCATCACATGGCGGGACGTTTCCCTCCAAACACACAACAAGGAGCGAGTTAAAGTGAAAACACAGCTCTTTAAAAACAGAGTATGATGCCATGCACTTGGTTTTTAGATTGAGCTTAACCCTCCCTAAATACACGACATAGATTTCCTATGGAGATAAAGCCGGCTTGAACTAATCAAGGTGGATATTCCTTAAGCTCACAGACGTTGTGAGCAGGAAGGGAGAAGGAACAGGAAGGTCGATGGAGGCGGCTGCGCTTCAGGGGCTTAACGTTATCGATCTCACACACGGGTGGAAGTTTTACAAGCTCAGGCGTGTGTGTCAGAGGTGTGTGTCAGAGGTGTGTGTCAGAGGTGTGTGTGAGAGGTGTGGGGGGGTACGGTTTTTATTATAGGGGAAGTTGTAATTCCCATCAAAAGCAGTTATTAAAGGAATATCAGTTTGCAAAGATAACACTCTTTGTAATATTTCTAAATGTTCTCACCAGCGTCCAAGACGGTACACTTTCCTCTGCAACTATAAAAAACAAATATAAAAATGTTTCTCGTTAAATTGAATTTGTTTTTAGTTATTTTTTATTTAATGCAAGGGTTAAAGGGTTTTTAGCTGGAGCTGCTTTTCACTTGAATCCCAAAACTCACCCGTGTGTTGGAGCAAGAAGTTCTTCTCTTTAAAGAGACGATATTTAATTGAATTAATAACTTAGATATAATATGAATTTCAGACAATATTTACAACACAAACATTTATTTATAAAACTGGTGTTACATTTGATCTTGAATTATAATTTACTTCTTGCTAAAAAAAAATAGAAATAAAAAATGTGTTTGTCTACTTCAGGGAAACAGATTCCAAATACTAATTAAATGTAATTCAAACATTTTTAATCGAGTAACAAAACCAGCATACATGGACAGTGATTGCACAAACTGCTTCCACCTTTTGGAGGTTTTAAACTACCTCATAATCCTACATAATAAAGTAAATATGAATTCAGATGATCTGTATTTCCCCCCGTTGTATCTCAGTGTTTGCAGCCGTCCTATGTCTCATCAGATCTTCCTGATGTTGCTGCAGCAGCTCGAGCCCCCTGAGTCATGGCCGCCCTGCTTTGGGTATCAATTTTTCTGGTGCATATTACAAAGTGTTATAAATAGTATGTAGGGCCCTTGCAGTGTTCCTATATCTCTCCCTCTCTCTCTCTCTCTCTCTCCCTGCTCTCCCTCTCTCCCCCCTCCTGGCACAAAGATCTCTTGTTCCCCCGGTGAATGTGTGCTGCCCTGAGCCATTCAGGCCTTTGTGGAGCTGAGGGGCCCTGTCCCCCCCCCACACACACACACACACCCTCCTCTGCTAGGGTCAAAGGGGGGCAGGGGCAGGGCTTATCCCTGGTTAGTGGGCGAGCACAGGGGTGTGTGAGGGGGAGGGAGGGAGAGAGATAAGAGAATGGAGCATGCGTATGGGAGTGTGAAACTGGAGCAATATGTTTCTGTTAGTGATTTATAACTTGGGTTTATTTATTTTTAATATAAGAATCATTTATTATAAGCTGAATAAAATGTGTTATTGGAATTTGTACAAAGAAAACATACAGAGATGAGAATTTGCAGATTTATTGAACTCCTTTTTCCGGAGTTTGTGAAATCTTAATGATTTGTGTTGTCAGCTGTGTGTTTGAGTTTATTATAATTAATGCCGTTTTATAAAATCATAAAGAAACCAAATTATCTGATCACATACTCCAGAATCCCTTTGTATCAAATCATGCATTACATTTAGTGGATTTTATTAATCATGCATTAAATTGGCTGTATATTTTAGATCAGAAACTTCTTTTAAACTACATTTTAATTGACAAATGTACCTCTCTCAAGCCACTATGCACAAAACAAGGACTAAACTGACCTAAAAGGCCTAAGAGAGCTCATGTGTCTCATTCTAATATGTACACTCGTGCTTTTCATACTGTAACTCACTCTCAAGCCTCTACGAACTTTTTTTATTCGTGCTATCTGATGTTTTTCGTGTCCCCACAGGTGTTTTCTCCGGTGCTGACGGGTCGACCTCGGGGTCTGGAGCTGCCTCTGTCGGCGGCTCTGAGTTGTCTCAGCAGCAGCCCACACCTTCACTGTCCTCTCCGTCTCCGTTTACCGCCACCGCACCGCTCACCAGCACCGCCAACACACACGTGAGTCCAAACACACACACACTGCAAAAAACTCTCAATGACACCCTCACACTCTTACATACATGAAAGTACAGAAAAAGTCTCTCTGTCGTTCTTTTATTCCTTGGGCTCCCAGCAAATCATTAAAAAGTCTGACATTTAGTTTCAATGTTCCTTTCTAAAATGTTCTTCAAATATCTGAGATTGTAGGACGGGTGGCATCAAATAAGGATAAGGAACGGATGATCGCGTCTAGTTTTTCGGTTTAATTTGACCGAAATGTTTATCCATAACGATGACATTTCCACAACGTCCAATACCGATTTCTTCATACGTTAAATAGGGAGCGTACACTCAGCTTAGATGGACGTGGAAGAACAACGTGTGTCTGTAATCTACATTTTTACATATAAGAAAGCGTTTAACTAGCTTCCGATTTGTGAGCCGAGGCAAGGAAAAATAACACTGAATATTCCCGTTATTCAAATCAACACAACTAAATAACAGAGTTTGCTGCAGGCTAGTGTGTCAAATGTATTTTTCCCAGTAATGGAATTTTTTTTGGTCCTTTTTTTATATTATTGAAAGGGTTTTAAGGTCATTAAATTAGTACTTAAATGTGCAGGTTCCCTGTTCTTTCTTTTTTCAGTCCTTCATTCTTTCTCACACACACACACACCAATTCAGCCACATCTCTCGCAGATAAACGGTGGGAACTAAAATAAACCAAAGCGCACTAATTAAACGTCCTCCTCACTAAATCTCTCAGCGCTGTTATTAATACACTGCATATTAATAACGTGTGTGTGTGTGTGTGTGTGTGTGTGTGTGTGTGTGTGTGTGTGTGTGTGTGTGTGTGTGTGTGTGTGTGTGTGTGTTTTCTCAGCGAGTTTTTCTAAGGGTGGTTTTACACAGTGCACCTGTAGAAGGTCCAACATTAGTCTTCAATCATACAGTGATGTGTAGTAATCTAATCAGAACACAGGGACCTATTACTTTTGACATTTAAAGGAGAAAAAACACATTTGCTGTGTTATCTTAATACTCACTTGCTATTATAATTCATACCATTTAATGTTGGAGAAAAGCTTGGAAAGTTAGGAAATTTGTTCAAGACTTTAAGAAAAATACCTCCTTTTAAATGGATTTATTTCAAGTGTTTGGGTTTTTTATGGATGTAACATTTGTATGAGCATTTTCAAAATATTCCTATTTAGACCTCAGATGTTGAAGCAACAGCTGAGCAGCTTTATCCAAGTCTAATTCAATTCTGTAGATAATTCAGACCTAAAGCTGCTATTTTTAGGCTTTTTATAATTGTTTTTGGTTTGTTAGGGCACTGACTCTAACTCGGTCAGCTCCCCCAAAAAAGTAAAAAAATAATCGTCAATTGGTGACCCAAGAGTCCACCCTTTCAAAACCTCTCCAAAGACCCTGCTCTGTCTCTGTCCACCCTACTCCATTTTTCTCCCGTGTCCACTTGCCACCTCTCTTTCTTCTTCTCTCTCTCTCTCTCTCTCACACACACACACACACACACACTTTCTGTCACCCTCGACCTTCCTTCCCTCTGTCCCCATCCATTTCTCTTTTTCTCCCTCTGTTGTCCTGTGATGTAATGACATCTGACAAGCACCACAGTGGGGATGGAGGGATAGATGGAGGGAGGGAGGGAGGGATCGGGGCAAGTGGTGTGTGTGTGGTGTGTGTGTGTGGGGGGGGGTATGGCCTGGTCTTCATCGTGCCCGCTCCTCTCTGTTCAGCACATATTATAGAGGACGGGAGGCCCAGGGAAGCACAGGATATCACGCCTGTTGGCAGCATGTATAGATGAGTTTGGAACGTGTGTGTGTGTCCGTGTCCATTTGTGTGTGTGTGAGACAATTGTACAGAAAGAGAGCAAAGTGAGGAAGACTTTAATAGTGAAGGAAATATATTTGTTTGTTCACTGTCACTCCAGATTGTTTAAAAGAACGTGTGTTTGTAAAGTGTGATGCGCGTCTCTGGACATCTGAGACACACACATTCCAAATCAAGTCTGTAGAAATTACGCAACTGTAGAAGGACGCCAACAAAAGGTGTGTGTGTGTGTGTGTGTGTGTGTGTGTGTGTGTGTGACCATTTGCTATTTTCAGTCCTCTAGCAGACTCTCGGCCTACTGTTATTGGCCATCAGCCCAGGACAGAGAAGGGGAGTGCGAGAGAGACAGTGAATGAAAAATGAATGTTGATGGGAAAGGGGGCTGGGTTATGGCAGCGAGGGGAGGAGGAGAGAGGGAAGGGGAGAGAAAGTCATTTCAGTGAGGCGGGGAGAAATACACGGAGGGTACAGGTTCTGGGTTTGAGTTTAACACTAAACAGTGATGTGAGTTTCCAGGAAGTTTTCCCATTTTCTGTTATTTTAGAGACACCAGGTCCATCAATTTGTAATGAGAGATAATGACGTTATTTTTTCCCAAGGTGCACCCAAAAAAAAGGGTATAGGAATGACTTTAGAAGCTAAATATTTAACGAAAGGCTTAATAAATACAGGATTTTCATGTCGTTTTTCTGCTCATATAAAAACGTTATTTATTTAAGTACTGCTCAAAACATTTTTTAGTCAAACTATAAAAACTTTAGGAAAACAGTTTATTATTGATATTTAATTTATCAGCAATTTGATGATTAAGTTTTGTTTGACAACCAAAAAATAACCTTTTTCTTCATCGACTTAAGAAAAATCATGTCATTCTTTCAGCTTCACTAGAAATTACAGAAATGATGCTTCTGGTGTGTGTTTGGTTGGAGCGTTTAAACACCAGCAGTCAGCCATTTTGTTCTTTTTAGAAAGACCTGATTCCCCCCCCGATGCTCCACCCTCTAACGTCTCACCCCACCCCTCAGTGCACGGTCCTTATTTGGGAAATGCCTTAATTGGATTAAACTCTGTGGATCAGAAACTGTGTGTGTGTGTGTGTGTGTGTGTGTGTGTGTGTGTGTGTGTGTGTGTGTGTGTGTGTGTGTGTGTGTGTGTGTGTGTGTGTGTGTGTGTGTGTGTGTGTGGCGGCGGCGCCGTGCATCAATAACATATCCATGTTTTTATCTACATGAAATGATATGAAAGTTGTCGAATCCACATTGAAATTTGTATTAATTTAAAAAGCTTCATTGGCATGAAATGGGATGTAGATGCTTTCTGAAAATGTGTAATCAATAGTGGGGAATTTAAATGCTGATGAGAATGATTTTCAGATTTTGATTTAGGCTAATTCAATTTACAAAACACCTTCCAAAAAATGTAATACAAAGAGTTTCTCACTCATCGCTAATACACACCAAAGAAAGAAAAACACTTCAAAGTTTCAGCCAATATTTGTTTCTGTTTTGTATCATTATCAATTAAATTATTCGAATTGTTTGCAAAATCTGGAACATTTAAATTGACATTTTTTAATGTTGTGATATTTTATACACTTAACTTTAATTAATAGTTCCATTTATTCATAATAATTATGAGTCTTTAAAAAAATAACTTAAATTGTAGCCCTAATATTATATTAAATGTTTTTTATTTGTATTCATACTTATTTTTCTACTATTTAATAGGAGCTGTTTTAACCCTTTGTTGCTGGATGTTTCTTTTTTACTCCTTCCTGCTAGTCATGCAGATAACACGCATTATGTGGGACTTTTTTTACACCTCACTTCCTCCTTGTTTCCTGTCTTCTGTCTCTAAACCATCAGCTATACAATAAAAGAGAACATGGCAAATTTAAGTTTTCTTCTAAATAGCTCAGTTTGAATCAATCCCAGTGAAACCAGTCTTTTTGTGTCTTATTTTCTGTCCCTCTGTCTCCAGGTGAGTGGCTCCGTCTTTAACCTCGCCCCCTCCCACATGTTCGGTAACCGGCTGAATCCAAACTCAGCCATGGCAGCTCTCATCGCTCAGTCCGAGGCCTCACCGGCAGGTAACACACCGTGTGTGTGTGTGTGTGTGTGTGTGTGTGTGTGTGTGTGTGTGTGTGTGTGTGTGTGTGTGTGTGTGTGTGTGTGTTAATGGAAAGGTCACGCCCCCGCGGCCCCACAGAGAGGTCAGGGGTCAGCACTCGGGATATTTTCAGGCTCCGCCCACTCGGATCCTGTTACACTGCGTTGATTGTTCTCCCTTCTCACACAAACACAAACAAATACGGCTCACACCCGTATCGCTTACATGTAAAACATTAAACTCTGAGCTGTGGTTAGAGGAAGAGGAGGGTGGATGAGGAAGAGGAGGGGGAACGGGAGCTGCCTTCAGGAGAAAACGGGAGGATGGTTATCTGTCCAGAGGAGCTGATGAAGGAGTAAGACGTGGCTTTAGAAATGAGAAGAGCTGCTTCCTGATACAAGACATCTGGCTGAAGAGAGAGGAGAGAAGATAGGAGGAAGAGGAGGAGGAGGAGGAGGAGGAGGAGGAGGAGGAAGGTAGTTGGTTCCTGCTGCCAGTCAGCCGTCATCAGAGCCAGATCCACGCTGACCCGCGGGTCAACTCACTAATCAGCTGACTGACAGGCGGCCACAGGGCTGTGTGTGTGTGTGTGTGTGTGTGTGTGTGTGTGTGTGTGTGTGTGTGTGTGTGTGTGTGTGGTTGTGTGTGTGTAAAAAAGCTTTGTGTAATTTATATTAAAAGTGTGGTGGCATTAGTTGCAGATTGTCTCCCTGTGAAAGCAACTTTTTCTGCTTTATTTGAAACGTATATTACATTTTATATTAGATAAAATTATGTTTTAATTGTATTTAATATATAACATTTAAGTAAGCATTAGTAAAGAAACGTTTGAATACAAATTATTTATTTTATTTTAAAATGTAGGTTATTATTTATTTTTTGAATATCCATAAATATCATAACTAGTTAATTTCCCATGTATTTTCCTGAGAAATAGATCAACCTTTTATTCAGAAAAATGTCAGAAAATGGAGAATTACGCCTGATGTGTTCCTTATGTCCCAATGAGACCAACCAACAGTCTAAATGTGTTCAATTAATAATGACTGCAAGGAAAACGCAGCAAATCCTCACCTTGGGCAGGAATTGTTTTGCATTTTTATTTGAACATTTACAGAAATCATTGATAAATTGATTTTAAAAATCATTGCTGATTTATTTTCCGTCGACCAGCTAATCACTTAATCTCCCCAATAATGAAAATCATTGTTGGTGCCCTCACACACACAGTTTGTGCTACAGCAGCGTGAAGTTGTGTTTGTGGGCCAGTCAGGGTCATGTGAGCACAAACGTGAAAGGTGTGCACGTGTTTGTATGCATGCAGCCTGTTTGCTTTGGCAGCCTCTCCTCTTTGCTTTCGAGTGTCTGCGTTATGAGAGAAAGAGGGGATGAAAAAGAGGGCGAGCGAGGGACCGGAGAGGTGACCTGGTGGGGGTAAAAGCTGGGATTGACTGTCTTAAGTAGAGGGGAGTGTGTAAATGCAAAAGTGTGCATTTGCGTGCATGTGTGATTCATTACTCTCAGTGAGGAAAATGAAAAGGAGCGTCTGGCCGGGGGCCCGGGGGGGGGGAGAGACCCTCAGAGGAGAGAGAGAGAGAGGGGGAAGTTTAGGAGGTTACAGCCAGGATTACAATACGTCAACACGTCTTTGTTTTGCCTCTCAGCTGGTATTTCTTATCTCCACAAAAAACAAATTAAGCAACTAATGATTATTTTTACTGTTGATTATTCCGTAGGTAATTTATTGATCAGTTGTTTGTTCTAAAAAATGCTCTTTAATTGGTGAAAATCGACACCCAGTTGTTCCCAAAGCCCATGAAAACACCCTCTGATCTCAATCAGGGCTGCTCAACTAATCCTATTTTAATCGCAATTACGATTTTGACTTGCAACGATTACGAAAACAACATCATCGAAATAAAACGATCATTTTTTTATTATAAAGTTCAAGTTAACCAACTGTTAAAAACATACTGTTCACATTTTTTTCTTCAATAAATGGTTGTTTTCAAAGTAAATGGATAATCGTTTTTAATAATCGTGATATCAATTATTGACCCAAATAATCGAGATTATGATTTTTGCCATAATCGAGCAGCCCTGATGTTAATCCTCTTTGTCAAGAGTGATCAGCTTACTGGCATTTAGCGCTAAAAAAAACTGCAAATATTCCCAGTTAAAGAAGCTGGAATAAGAGTTTATTTTTTTACTGTGTTTTGTTTCTTCAAAATCTAGTCAAACTGAGGCATCAATTATCAATAATAGTTGGCATTAATTTAAAAGTTAACATCAAATAAAGTAATCATTATAGCTGTACAGTTGACGAGGACAACATGATGTACTGTAAGACAGGAAAGAGACGGAATTATATAATATAAATACAGATTTAGAAGCGGGGGTTATCACTGATACACAGCATGAATGGTTTAAACTCATGTGTATAAGAATGTCTCAAGTATGAAGGTTATATATAAGCAGATTTAGGCTCGAGACATTTTTATGAACTGACTCATTGTATATGTTTTATTCACTCAATGCAGTTATTAAGCTGTATTTATATGTATGTTGTCCCTGTGCAGGAAATGCTCTTCGCCATTAACATGTTCTATTTGTATTTACAGACTGAAATGTATTACGTCACAATTAAATTACCATTACAGACGCGGCAGATTAACCCGTGCTGTGATTCCCAAATTATTTATTTACGCACCAAAATAAAACAAAGAAGAGATTTCCTGCTGCTCAAGTGTTTCTGCGTGGACAGAACTTAACAAAAACAACCTGTAAATGTCGTTTTCAGACATGTTTTTAACTTTATCTGGCTCAGTGTGTGTGTCTTTATGTACGATTTGATTTTTCTTTGTGTGTGTGTGTGTGTAGATCAGGAGGTGGGAGACGGCAGCAGTGGCGTCGGAGCTCAGGGCTTCTCCATAAGAGCTTCTCCCAAGACCACCCCGCGGTGAGCACACACACACACACACTCAAACACACACACACAGATGCTCCCTCCCCATTTACATTCCTAACTGCCCCCCCTCCTCACCCATCCCCCTCTCTAGCTTTTCCCTCCGCTGGCCCCTCGCCTCCTCTCTCTTCCTCTCACACACACACATGCACACTCTCCCTTTCGCTCTCACCCCTACAGGCTACCCTCTCTCAGCCAACGATAACGTGTGTTTTTGAAGGTGGTAACCATCCTTCAACTCCACTCAGATCCTCTTTTTTTAAATCACACATGGAAGGACAGTCTGATTTTCGGCATCTCCTGCATCTGGGAGTGTTTGCATGGATCTCTCAGGATGGGATTATTGACGACACAAATCTGTTTTTGTTTGTTTCTACTTCTCTGTGGGATGGATAATTTCACTTGATGAGGTTGGTTACAATTTCCACTATTTTGCTTTTTTACATCTTGCCTTAAGGAGACATGATTTGTGCGTGGGAAGGGGTGACATTTGATTTAAATAGAAATATTCTAACAGAAGAATATTGTGTCAGAAACATTGGATTTTCTCTTCAAAGAAGCTAATTTAATGACATTTTGAACACCTTGAAGATGAACAATTTAGCCTCTTATTATGAATATAGCAGATGCATTTTTGCGTGTAAACCGCTGTGACAGTGACACTTTAAATCTGAGCGTTTTTAAGTTTGCAGCGCGATTTAAAAGTGGTATAATCTTGACATTACTTTCCCCGCATTACGCACCTCTCTTTCCGTCTCTTCCACTCTCTCCTGCTGTCCCTCATTTCCTCTCTTTCACACTCAACAGATTGTTTCAGCACGTTAGATTCATCGCATCAAGACAGTCCACTTCCCTCTGTCTGTCTGTCTGTCTCTCTCTCTGCCTCACACACACACACACACACACACACACACACACACACACACACACACACACACACACACACACACACACACACACACACACACACACACACACACACACACACACACAAGCCTGGCCCCTTTTCATTAGAGGCCACTGTAACAACAAATTGATGTAGTTTTATAGCCAGCAGTGTCTATGTTTGTCTGACGTTTATGTTGGGTCGTTAATCTCCCCATTGACCTCTCTATCTCCCCCTTTCTATCCGCGCTCTCTCTCTCCTCATTCAGCTCCCCCATTGGTGGCCTGCAGATCCGCTATGACTCCTCGGGGTCGTTGCCGGGGCCGGCACTGGGGTTGCTAGGGGCGGGGGGAAGCGGGGGGGAGACGCTGCCCCCGGTGGCCACCAGCATAGAGCAGCTCCTGGAGAGGCAGTGGAACGAGGGGCAGAGCTTCCTGTTGCAGCAGGGAGCTCAGGGGGACGGTGAGACACGCACACACACTGAAACACACACATTGGGCGACTGTGGCTGTGAGGGAGTGTGGTCGTCTTTCAACCAGAAGGTTGTGGGTTCGATCCCAGCCCATGCAGTCAACATGTCGATGTATCCTTGGGCAAGATACTTAACCCTGAGTTGCTCCCGATGGCATGGCCAACGGTGTGTGAATGTGTGTGAATGTTAGGTCCTAGAGTAAGGTACACTGCTCTGTATGAATGGGTGTGAATGGGTGAATGACATGTAGTATGTAAAGCGCTTTGAGGGGTCTTAAAGACTGGATAAAGCGCTATATAAGTACAGTCCATTTACCATTACACACACACACACACACACACACACACACACACACACACACTGTAACACACCTGATGAATGCTCCATCACACACAGAGCTCAAAGTCAACTTTATTGTAAATCTTTCAGTTTGTGTACAGACAGAGATCGAAATACCGTTTCCCACAAATACAAAAATATAAATGTATATAAAAATATGTATAAAATTATGTATATCATATATATATATATATACACAATCAACAGACACATTTATAAATATGCACACATTAAGACATAAATAAAAGCACAACAATCAATATATACAAAATAACAGTCACTTCCATATCGTTGGGAATGTACATTAGTGCAAGACTGTCCATAGCAGCTGAGGGTCATTTAAGATATGTCAAATGACTCTGCTCCGATATGGCTTTGATACATTTTAAAACACACTCTTATGTTTAAAAAAAAAAGTTTTATGAAAGGTGCCAGCTTTCTTACAAATGTATGCAAGAACCAGAACATTGTTATAGACCAGGAGTGCCTTCACACTCAGGGCTCGGTGTCATTTGAGATATTTAAACTGATGAATGGGATCCCATCTTTTGTTACTTGTTACACATTTTCTGTTTCATGACGGTTTTAAAGTTTGATACACAGCCCTACTGCTAATCATTAGTTCCACATCTTGCCTCTTCTTGCTCCCTCTCTTCAGTCAATGTGTTATTATCGTCACTTATCTGCCTATTTTTAGCCTTAAAGTTCAAATAAAGAAGGAAAGGCGAGAGACACCATCCTTCATCTCAGGTTTAAGTTCCTGTGTGTAAAAACCTTTTCTCTCTGAGTTGCCTTTGTCGCCTCGTCTGCTTCTCACCAGCGTCACTGTTCTGCAGCTGATCTTGACCTCTGACCCCCCCCCCGAGTGCCCCTGTCTAATCAGTCACTGTGTATTTGAACAAAGTGGTGAGGAGTCTTCGCAGAGCTGCATGCTTTCACCTTAAGGACGCACTGGACTTTCAGAAAGCCAGAGCCGCTCTGATCTCAGACCTCTGTGGGAACTCAGAGCGGTTAGATTTACAAAACATGTTTTAGCAGGAAGTGCTGAATTCCACTCCAACACTCTGAGTGATGAATATGTTTTGTCCTCTTCGTGTTCCCCTCTCTCAGTGCTGGGCATGTTGAAGGCGCTCCACCAGCTGCAGGAGGAGAACCGGAGGCTGGAGGAACAGATCAAAAATCTGACCATGAAGAAGGAGAGACTGCAGCTCCTCAGCGCTCAGCTATCAGTGCCTTTCACCCCCTCCTCTGGTACACACACACACACACACACACACACACACACACACACACACACACACACACACACACACACACACACACACACACACACACACACACACGTACACACACACACGTATATACACACAAACACACACACACGAGCAAAACAGTAAGTCAAATATATTCTGGCCTCAGCTTCTCAAATTGTAAAGATTATTTTCTGTGTTTGATTTTTTTATGAAATATCAAACAAGACAATATGAAATCATGGCCTTGGACCTCTTAGAAAGGACATTTCTCACTATGTTGTGTCCAAATTATTGATTGAAAACACAATACAGAGAATAATGAATGAAATAATGAACTGCATTCATGTGTGTTGCAGATTTGAAAGGGGGCCATCTAGCAGGCACCGACTCGTCATTTCCTGCGTCAGCTCAGGTAAACACCCACAGTTTAAATTGTGTACAAACACAAACTCAGACATACAGAGCAGCAACGTGTCATTAATGCAGCACCAAGCATCAGATGGTAGTTATTTTGCGATAATCACCAAGAGAAAGTGTTTGTGATCCTCTCCAGAATGGAAGTAGTCATCACATACAGAGCATCAGCTAGTTCCTGAGCAGTGTCCTTCACATGCTGATATCCAAGAGAGGGAGTTCCACAGTCACAAGATGGAGGAATAGAAAGCAGTATTCAATGTTTACTTCAGATTAGCTCCACGTCAGAAATGATCATGCTTGTCACATGTCTCTCTCCATAGAGGCTGAATCATCATGTTAATCACATAGCTATCATATGCCTCAAACAGTCCTGATGCTCTTCTAGGTAATCACACATCCTGTCATGTTCACAGCTACAGTTGGGATACCTTTGTTATCATGTTGCTCTCATTTGGAAGAGGACACTCAGGATGTTCCCAACAGAAAGTTTTCATGAAGTGTTCCTCTCCTCTTTTAGGACGGAGCTTCCTGCGGGGGCCACAGCAGCAGCGGCTCCACCTCGTCTCTCTCCACCCCCCCCTCCGTGTCCCAGAGCCCCCCCCAGCTGAACGGCCGGGTGACGGGGCTGATGGGAGCTCTGGGAGCAGGCAGCGCTCTGAGCATGGGGGGGATCGTCGGGGGTCTGAACGGAGTGATCCAGAACCCAGCGGGCCCCCCCCACACCCCCGCAGCAGCTACGATGCCCGCTCATAACAGGTACGAGTGCTTTTTAAACTGAAATCTGCGACTTAAAAAACATTAATGGATAAGAAAAAGACAGAAGTTATGCTAAAGAGGGCGAAGCCAATGAAAACTTTTTTTATCGATAATTTGTTTGATTTATAAAATAGTAAAACATATCTATCCTAGTTCTCAAAGTCTTTAAATGTCTTGGTTGACTTTAATATGACAGAGAAGAGCAGGACATCTCCATAGTTGGGAGGCATCAGCAATGTCTGACATTTTTGCATGAAAAAATACTTATAACTATCAATCCATTATCTAAATAGTCTGCAACAATTATTCTGCAGGTTTAGGAATCTCTGCATATCCTATACCAGAAGGGTTTTTAAGATCAACCCCTCCAGATGCCTTTAATGCACTAACTAGCTCCACTAGCTCCACAATCACTCCTTATGGCAGGGATCATGCACCAACCCTTTCTCTGACTTTCTAAAGATGTTTGAATGTGAACTTGATTCCCTCCTCTCCTTTCTGTTTCCTTCTGCTTGCGTGTTGGATTCTTGCAGCTCAGCAACTAGTAAGAGCAGGTGAGGCTGAAGTCAGTCCAGCATCACAGCAACCTGTAGCTCCCTTATGTCCCCAAATTCAAAACTAGATTTGTTTGTGATATCATTTTAGTGCTGGATGTTTAGTGTGAGTGGTGAAGTTAATGTATATAGATAATCAGAAGTTTCAAGGAAGACGATTTCATGGTTTTCGAGACACTTGTTCTATGCATGTTGCGTTTGTTTCACTTTGGAAACCTGTAATGTTGTGAAGCCGTGTATTAACGTGTTGTGTTTTGTCTGGTCAGCGCTGCACGGCTCGGCCTGCTGTCGGAGCAGCACCGACTCCTCCTGCAGCACCATCAGCTCCAACAGCTGCTCTCTGCACAGCCTTCAGCGGTACGACACACACACACACACACACACACACACACACACACACACACACACACACACACACACACACACACAGGCTTGCAACTTCTCACTGCCATCACCTACACCAGCTAAATGTGTGAGAAAAACTTTGTTCTTCTTATAAATAAGTTGATTTTGTAGAGGAAACACTTTATTCATAGGTACGCGTATATGCATACAAGCTCATTATTTTGTCGTTCATTCCCTGTATTGCTTACTTCTCTTTTACCTCTCATAATCCCACTCTTATTTATCCAACTCTCGTTTCCTTTTTTCATCTAAAATGTTGACTTTTCTCTGTCAACCTCTATTCCCTTGCTTTGTATTCCTCCTTTTCCCTCTTTGTCCCTCTCTAAATGTAATTCAAAAAGCTTTATTGACATGACCATACAGTAGATATACAGTATTGACAACCTGCACATTAGTCAAATATAGTTGTTTCTCCCTCCCTCTCTCTCTCAGGAGCAGCAGCAGGTGTTGCTCTACCAGCTGATGCAGCAGCAGCAGGAGCTCCAGCAGCTTCAGTCGCTCTCCTCCTCCGCCCAGATCCCCTCCATGTCCTCCGCTCAGCTGCCCATCAACAACCAGAGCGCCATCACCGCCAACCCCTTCCTGGCGATGCAGCACGCTCACGCCGACTCGCAGAAGCCGCGGCTCGGCGAGAAGGCGCTGGGCGTGGCGGGTCAGGAGAAGACATGACGGCAGATGCTCTTTGTTTTTGGGTTATTGGTTTTTCTTTTAAAATAAATATGCAGAGTCTTCGGGGAGGCTGTGGGTCCACTTTGTGGCTCAGTGCCGCAGAGAAACCTGTGTTCCTGCTGGATTATTAGCACACACTATGGCGAGTGACGGCGTTCATCTGCAGCTTGAGGTTTATGTCGTTTATGTTTCAGGAATCAGATACATTGTGCTATTTATGTTCATCCAGTTATAGGTTTTTTTTTAGCTTTAGTGCTGCTTCAGGTTTTTGTCACTGTTGAGGTCATTTTGTTTCGATATCACTGGTAAAAACTTCGTGTCAGTAATGAGCACATGGTGTGTTTGATCTCAATATTTTATTCTCCAATCTCTTCACATCTCTCTCGTGTGTGTCACGTTCATTTCCTCTCTTTTCTCCATCGTCCACACTAACATCCCTCTCTGCTGTCTCACTCTCTCAGGGCCTCTGCTAACTCAGCACACAAGCTAGAACACACAGAACTACAAACATAAAAAAAATATAGCAGAAATACATAAAATATATATAAAAAAAGAATTCCCCACTACAGGACTTTACAGTAGGTCTCGCAGCGATCCCGAGGGGACTATTGAGCGAGAGGCTTGTGAAAATATCCCACATGTTCTCACTGTCTCTTTGTGTAGATGTGTTTATGTCGGTGACCCAAGCCTCATACAGTCACCGCAGAAGCCTTGCTTTTGACTGTCTCTTCTCTGGGCCAGATACAGGGGGCTCACTCAGGGAATGTGAAAAAAAAAAAAAAAGGAATAAGCAGCACGTTGAATGTTCAGAGGGATGCGTTAATCCACACAGACTCAAACAGAGAGAGAGGATGCAGTTGGTTGTCAGCCTTGCATCTGATCTTCCTGATTGGACCCCCTGCTGCACCTACCTCTCGAGCAGCTATCAGGACCTAAAGCAAACCACCAGAGTGAGGCCAGTCGGGGGCCACACCAAAGTGCCTGAGGCCAAAGGTGGAGGACTTGTGTCCCTTCTACCCGAGTCCCTGTCACTCGGCCCAACTCTTCACAATAGAGCTGTGCAGGAATGAGTCCGAAAACCCCGGAAATGAGTTAGCATTTTACCACTTCCAGCTCCCTCCTGTTAAAACCAATTGTTTTATGAATGTGTTTTTGGTTGTTAGCTTGAAATAAGTTCTGTGGTTAACACAAGTTGGACCAGATACATCACTGGTTAATTAAAAAAACGCGGTCGCTAACAAGTGTCTAAATGAGACTACTAAACGTCATCACACCCAAAATAAGCCGCCTTTAGCTTAGCGGTGGTGATGTGAAATAATGTGACCGCGCTGTAGTTCCTTTATAGCCTTACATTATCGTTTTACTTCTCGTGTTTTCATTTACGCTTTAAAAAAATCATCATATCCTGCTGAATAAAGCGTATCTGAAATGTGTGTTTTCCACAGATCTTATTTTCTGCAATAATCCAAAAGCCAATGTAGAAATCCGATTGGCTTTTTGACGGGGGAGTCTTTGCGATAATAACTTCCGGGTCGGCCTTCAGTAACACATCACCCCTGCACCAGTTTATGCTACTGGTAATTAAGCTGCGTTGCTAAGGCAACAGATTACAATAAGACTCGTCAGGGTGGACGTGCGTTTAATGAAAACCAGGAAATATTATTCTGCTGCATTCTCTGATATCAAAGCCAACTTTGTATTGTGCTTTTTATTTATTTGGGGTTTGTGTAAAGGGCATAATGAGATATATTTTAAAAAGCCCGTGGGGTTGCCACCTAACATCGTTTTTATACTACTGTGTAAAGTTTTCTTTGTTTTGTTTCTTTCCCTCATCTTGCTGTAAAACCCGTTTGATGACTTCTATCTGTGTTGTGTTTGAAAGCTAGAAACTATTTATAGTTGGCTGATTGGGGCGGGGGTGTGGCTGTACATAGCTGTCTGTAGGGGGAGGACATGTGTCATCACAGTTTTTACCTCGTTAAGTGTACATAAACCTTTCTCATTGGCCGTTGGTGTACATAAGTGATTGTGATTGGCCGTGCTGGTGTGAAGGAAAGCCAATGAAGCCTCAGCTTGTGTGTGAATCTTTAGGACCAGTGACTGGACACACAAAGTATTAATTTATTTTTATATGTGCAGGGACATTGTGTTTCTTTTTTTAAGTTTTGCACCGTTTTCATGATGAGAAGTCATTTTATACTCGGCACCGTGTTTTCATCTGTGCACACATTTGTTCGGATACGTTTTATACAGGTGGAAAATAATGGGAGGGGAGAAAATCTGACATTGTATTTCAAAACACCAAAAATAAAGAAACACTCTGGATAAAACTAACAAGAGCTTTCTGTCTTTGTATCAAGAAGTTTGTTCAAATTATGCTTTAGCTACGTTGCTCCATCATTTGTAAAGATGTGTTTCTGTTTCACAAATGTATAGAACTAATCCTCAGTGTGTTATTTATCACTCTTTGAAAACAATATAATGCAAATCCTATTTTCAAATTGTATACTCTGTTTTTCCGGTCAGAAAAGACTGTGGTGACGAATATTTCAGTATATTTAATGCATTTAATATACTGCAATATGTTCACTGACCATGTGTTAATTGTATTTGTATTTTTAAAAGCTGCGTGTGGCTAGATGTTATAAGATACTCAAACATTTAGTAATATAACATTTAAGGCAAATGTAAACAACATAATCACAAAATAGTACAGAAGACTGTTAATAACTCGTAAAATAATATATAAATATCAGATATATTTATTCTATTGATCCTGTGATCCCTGAACCTGGAAAATATGTATTTGTAATTAATTGTATTCCAAATTAATTACAACAATGTCAATTAAGACATCGACCTTGGTTTACATTATGAGGCACTTATTTTGTTAAATATGGCAGCATGATGTTACCTATTCAGTAATAAGATGGGGGGGGTAATCATCAAGGTAAGACGTGCCGATAGAAGCTGAACATCTTTACATTTAAACAATGTGCTTCAAGGCTCCTGTCCTAACAAATACACACACACACACCCACCAAGGCTGATGACTTCCAGCTGCCAAGAAACAACCAGTGTGTGTGTGTTTAGAGGTGGGGGCACCATTCTGCTACATCTGCTTCTGCCCTGGTAATTAAAAGCTCACTTTCCTCCTGCACCCCTGCTCCCCCCAAAAATACCCCCCTCACCCCGTTCAGGAGTTTTCCGCCCCCCTTCCCTGCTCTCACACACACACACACACACACACACACACACACACACACACACACACACACACACACAATCTAACCTGCATTCAACAACACAAACCCCCTTTTCTCTTCTCTTTTCTCAAGCACTTGCTCACTCAGCCAGCCCCCCCACTACCACACATCCTCACCGTGCCCCCCCCCCCCCCGCCTCACTATCAGGCCTGTCAATCAAACCCAGGCTGTTTAAATACACCCCCCCACACACACATACACACACACCACACAACCACCACCCAGGACCCTCTATTCTATAAGCCTCCACCATCAGACCTGCCTCCCCTCTGCTCCTGGTAATAGCGCGCGCGCGCGCGCGCACACACACACACACACACACACACACACACACACACACACACACACGGCAGAGCTGCTGTGTCCATCATCGATCCCCCCCCCAGAGACCCCGGGGTGGGAGGGTTTACCAGCTGATGGAGGACCCCTGGGCTGTCCGACCAGGAGCCTGATCATAAACTGAAAACACTGGTAAGCTCCGATGTTAGGACACACACACTCACACGCACACACACACACTGACCCACACACGGAGCAGATAGCGGGCCAGCAGGAGGGTTAAGCCCGGGATGATGAGACTAATTTCGGCCAGATATCTGTGTCTGCTGTCAGGGAGGAATGCTCTGCAGAAACAGAACCTCTGTCTGCATCGTGCAGCCTCGTTGTGTTCGAGGCTAAGCTAGGAGCTAACCAATGAGGCGTTCTTTATTGTTTTGCATTTTTGTTTTCCAAAAAACTCCAACCAAGATAGCTTAAGCAGAGTTAAACAGAAGAGATTGAAAAAAATAAAAATTCCACAGCTTGCAATTATTTCTAAACAGGCTACACACACATTATGCATTTAAAATGTAGGTATACCTTTCTGTTTTCTTTACTCATTATTTTTATAGTTTTTTATACACAGGACCATGCATACAAATTCATTCAAAAAGGGAACAGATGATTTTTGCTAGAATTAGCTATTGGGGAACTACCATCTGCATACTGATGTAGTAGTACGAGGGGCCCCAAAATGTGTTTTTTAACATATATAAATTAATGTGTTATTAAATGATGCAACAGAAAAAAAACAGCATTTAAAATAGTTACTTGTTTATTTGAATTAAATGTAACCACAGCTCAAGACACACTCTTAATTTGTCACCGTCCAAAAAAAAATTTTTTTATTTAATTGAAGGATTCAGTATTCCTTTATGAACTGAGAAATTCTCCTATTTCCTAAATTAAAATAAACCATTCGCACACACTCACCTAAATGTGCATGAAACATAGGTCCTGGTAAGCTGCTGGTTTGCAGAACATTTATTTTCCCAGACCTTCAGTATTTGTTGCCATCTTCCTCTTTATCATCCTGGATGAACTGAGAACCCCTCTCCAGCCAAGCAGAAATGAACGCACAACCATAAAACAAGTTAACCATGAGTAATTTCTACACAGGTTCTGGCATATGTTTGGTAATTCAGTTACATTATTTAATTAGACCCCAGCCTCAGAGAGAGACCAAAGAGCAGTAAAACAGAGATGTAATAAACCATCAGCAGGAGGCAGTATGTACAGTAATGCAGCGTAAATCATCACAGAGCGGCTGCCATTAGGAGCCCCATCCTGGCCAGGAACCTGCAGGGGCCCCGATCCGGAGCCCAGAGGAACCAGAGCCGCAGAACAGAGGTGTTTAGGCAGGAGGAAGAGGAGGAGAGAGAAGGGGGAACAGCTGAGGAGATTCCCAGGGTGTGTGTGTTTGAATGTGTGTGTTAGTGTGTGTGCGTGCCCCCCACAGGTTTCCCTCCTGTAGGATAATGGTGGTGAGGAGAAGCAGCAGGACTCTGCCTCATCCCTCTTCATTCTCAGATAGCTCGTATTCTTCTGGGTAGTGACACTCCTCTGTCAACCCCTAACACACACACACACACACACACACACACACACACACACACACACACACACACATACACACACATATCCTATCTTTCCAGTTCAGTCACCTTTGAGCTTCTTGCTTCATGTCCTTAAGGTACAAAGACTGCACCATTGGTCATTTTATTTTGAAAGGCCAGTCTGCTCAGTTTTATTCATGTAGTCTTAAATGACTGCTTCTGTACAATCTGTACACTACAACACCCTCTGTCCCTCAATACAGACAAGAAAAGCTCCCCATAACGACATGTTAGTATAGCACATGAGTACTTGCAGTTTAGATCAATGAAATAATTTAAACAACATCCTAGAACACACCATGTACCTAGCTACATTTGTCCACAGCAAATATAGATAGGATTCTTGCAGTTGAGAAACAATTACTAAAAACTTTAAATAAAACCGCAAACAATTACAGAAAAATATAACATGTTTTGTCTAAATACAAAAATATTTTTAGAATGAATAACAACTTTTTTTTAAATATTATATTTAAAAAAAATGTATCTATTTGTATGTTGGTGTTTTTATGTTACACCAAACATTAAAACAAAAAATAAATCCCATCCACTATTTATTTATTTTTTATTATATTGCAGATCAGTTAAGACATTTCTTTCAAAGTT